GAACCCACGCAAAGCAGCTGGGCCGGACTCTGTCTCTCCAGTCACCCCCAGGCACTGTGCGGACCAGCTGTCTCCGGTGTTCACCAACATCTTTAACACCTCCCTGGAGACATTCCATGTACCAACCTGTCTCAAGTCCTCCACCATCGTCCCTGTGCCCAAAAAGCCAAGGCCAACAGGACTAAATGATTATAGACCGGTCGCCCTTACCTCTGTGGTAATGAAGTCTTTTGAGCGCCTAGTCTGGGCACACCTCAAAGCCATCACAGACCCTCTCCTGGATCCCCTTCAGTTTGCCTACACCTCCAATCATCTGTCCGTCAAACTCTTGAAGTTTGTGGATGACACCACCCTCATTGGGCTGATCTCTGGTGGGGATGACCAGTGAATTAAAACATGTACACCTGGCCCTCAAGAGAAACGGATACTCTGACCGTACCATCCGCCAAGCTGTTTTTCCCTCCATACAGAAACAACCACTTGATACTCCGGTCAAAACCATCACACTACCATATATGGCAGGCGTTACTAAAAAGATTTCCAAAATTCTAAACAAACACAAGATCCTGGTCCGGTTCAATACAGTACACAAAATCCGTGACCTGATCCCATCTGTGAAGGATGTCGTTCCTGACTTACAGTACCCCGGGGTTTACAAATTGAGCTGCACCTGTGGTGACTGCTAAATCGGGGAGATGAAACGACATGTCTCTGACCGAATTTGCAAGCACAAATCAGATTTGAAACACGGCAAAACGAATTCTTCTGCCGTTGCTGATCACTGTTACAACGCTGTGGGGGATCACAATATAATTTTCTCCGATACCAAGGTTCTTTGCAAACCCACGGGCTTTTATCAGAGATTTGTTCATGAAGCAATTCAGATCTACAAACACAGACACAATTTCAACCAAGAAGATGGTTTCAAATTAAGCAACCATTGGAAAGATGTTCTAAATCGAACTAAACATTAAACTAATTTAAATGGTACAGTATATTTTTTCAAGTAGTGGTACCCCAAACTTTCGCAGCTCTTATAAATTCCCTTTTCACACCATCAATAGGTAAACTCCCCCTCCCCCCCCCCCCCGCGTCAAACGGCAAGTCCACCGGCACGTACACCACCTCTTTCCTAAAATCGGCCAATCAAATGCTAATTGTTATGCTAATTTCTTCGTCAGAACACCTTGTTTGCTCGCACACAGTTTAAAGGTCCGCTGTCTGAGCGTGGTTGTGTTTCGCTAAATTCTCCTGTTTGATTAGTACTAGGTGCCTCGGTGAATGTATATGCTCTGACTTTAACATAGCTATTTCTGTGACCAGTTACAAGCTAATCACTCAGCTATTTCAATTCTATGCTAATTCCTTTGTCAAGGGGTACCTCTGCGGATGTGTATACTTTAACTTAGCTACTTCAATGAGCCATTGCAATGCTAAATTATATGCTAATTCCTTTGCCAAGGCGCTTTGTTTTCTTCTCACACAGCTTCAAGGTCGTGATCTAAGCGTGGCTTCTCTCACTCCAGCGCTGTCCTCCAGACAGTCTCGTCCCTTCACCTGATGAAGGCCGCTTGTGTTGTGGCCGAAACGTCGTGAGAATATTATTGTGTTATTTTATTTTATCAATTTATTATTTTATTCTCATTCTACGTGACTTTACCGAAAGAACCAAAGAAGATGAATCATTGCAGAAAGCTTTAAATCGAAAGATACAGTTCTTATAAATAAGATTATTATGCATGAACTCAGGAAAGAAACACTCAAACACTTCTGTGTTAAGCAATTTTAATTTCTAAACAAAACCTTAACACCCTAATATGCGAACTCTCATGCTTGGAATTACCAACACAGTACTCCAGGAAATGTTCTCCTCATTGACCCATAAGTTTAACCCTCAATGAGCATTTGTTAACTGGGTAACAGTACAATCGATTATTCCTCAGAGTACGCGAGCATACACGGCGGGATTAAAAGTCATAAAAAATTCATGCAACCATATTAATACGAAGGGCAATAAAGAAACATGTCCCGAAGGCAATTAATTTGTAAGATTATGCAATTAAAAAGAAGAAAAAAACGAACGACTAAAATACTTCTAAATGACCGTATCCACGTAACTCGACGGGCAGCAATGTTCTTCACGATCAGTTGATATTTAACGCACCACCTTGGAATGGCAACCCTTCTTGAAACACAAAGATACTTTTTGGAACAATCTTATTTGTCCCGATATGCGTGTTGTGTGTCTTCTTTGCCACTTGTTCAATTCTTTGTGTAAAGTAGACGCCGGGCAATGCGTCGTGAGGGTGTGAGTGTGGGGGAGGGTCATACAAACGGCTTCGTTGCTTTTCTTGCTCGGGGCGTCGGCTTAGCTGCTGGTCCGCTGGCAGATACAGGCTCTTTCCACTGCTGGAGTAGCTGCATCTGCACGTTGCTTGTCCTTGAAGATGCTCGATCACGCTCGCCGCTGGTCCGCTGACACTCTTGCTCACGGACGGTTGGCAGGCTCTTTCCCCTGCTGGATGAACCGAGTCGGCACAACGATTGTCCGCTGGCAGCTGGCACCCTTGCTTGGTTGCGCTCGTTGCACTGGTTGTGCTGGTTGCGCGCTCTCTCCTGCTGCGTGCTCTCCCGCGGTGGACGTTTGCTTTCATCGCTCGTCACTCTCTCTTGGGCTGGAGCTGCTGCTGGGAGCTGGCACTCGATGTAGAATAAAACTATTTTAGCGATATTCTTTGTTCTTTCAGTAAAGTCACGTAGAAGGGAAACAATTAAATAATAAAAATATAAAACAATATTTTTATTATTTTATTGTTTCCCTTCTACGTGACTTTACCGAAAGAACCAAGAATATGAATCCATGCAGTCACGAAAGCTTTAAATCAATATTTTAGCGATACTTCGTCTTTCAGCTCTGATCTCACACTTGGTGACACATCGCTACTCTGCTGGCCTCACCATCCTCGGTTGATTGCTGGGCCCACCCTGGAGCCTGCCACTTTCCGCCCTCTTCTGTCGCTCGCCAAGCTGTCCCTTGTCGAGATGAATTGTCGAGCTGTGTTGCTGTTTATATACGAAAAATCTCCCCTCTGCGCGTCTCTTGCGAGAGGAAAAAAAACAGATGCTTACTCCGTCATGTTCTTTCACAAAGGACCGGAACTTTCTTTGATCTCGCTCTGCGTTGTGGGGGGGGGGGGGGGGGTACGTGTGTGTGTCTGTGTGTGTGTCATTCATCAAGTCATCTTTTCATCTGTGGATGCGCAGATGGCCCCTGCAATAAAAAGTAATTTCCCTTGCTCTGGTGTTACATTCTTTGCTATCCCGTGCTGCGGGAAGACAAAGATGGCCGGGAGGCTCTCTTCCTATGGAACACAGTTTATCTTGGTTGTGTAAGTTTGACCAATTTTGCCTCATTTCCTCTGGACAACCCTCGGTTCAATACTGCACAAATATCATTTGGTCTATGTTTCCTAAGACCTGTGATTCATTGTCATCATGACGCATTTCCTAGGGTTTATTAATTTTCGTCCCCCCGTCTGTATCCGGGGATCGGTGCTGTTATGCTTGAGTTATTATTTACTTTAATTTTTTGTCTTTAGTTTTAGAGTTAAGTTTCTTGACTGTTGGAATTCATATTCCTTGGTTTTTGTAAGGTAATGTAACGTCAAGATGTAATATAATTGAAGGTGAATAATGTTAGCATTAACATTATGTGTGACCCGCTATGTGGATTGTAGTCTGTTTTTTTCGTCCTTCTATTAATTAAAACTTGTCTGCCCGGTTTTCGTCTAATTTGTGTTTGTTCTATTGTTTGTGGTGATGAGATGTCTCCTTAAGGCCTGGCCCCTTCATTCGCGTGGGGGGGGAGGGCGTGTGTGTGTGTGTGTCTTTTTTATTTGACTTTATGACTGACCCTTTCCGTTGGTGGGAGGGGAGGGTGTCATTATCCTTGCGAGAGTGACAAGACAGCTGGTCGAAAAGAGAGGGGTGGGGGGGGTTTCGTTTGTTTGTGCTCCCAGCGACCCCGCGAGTGATAAAAAAATATCGGCAAAATCATTATTAATATCAAAAACAAAAATGGAAAAAGGCCTATATACAACACCCTCCATCCACAGCTCTCTCCGCACACAGCTCCCTCCATCCACAGCTCTTTCCACACACAGATCCCTCCTTCATCCACAGCTCCCTCCACACAGGTCCCTCCTTCATCCACAGCTCCCTCCTCCATTGACAGCTCCCTCCATCACCCATAGCTCTCTCCACACACAGCTCCCTCCATCCACAGCTCTCTCCACACACAGCTCCCTCCTTCATCCACAGGATACCCACAGCTCTCTCCATCCACAGCTCTTTCCACACACAGCTCTCTCCTTCATCCACAGCTCTTTCCACAGACAGCTCCCGCCTTCATCCACAGCTCCCTCCTTCACAGTTCTCTTCCTCCTCTCGTCACTCCACCAACGTCCCCCTCCTGTCACAATGCATAACTGTTGCGTGAATGGCGATGGTGATGGCTGCTACAGTTTTTGAGTTGAGAGGACCTCTGGAGATGCTGCTAGGGAGTGGGTGAAGCGGGCATGGTAGGAGGATAATGATGAGTACCACAGCAACAGAGCCACATTTAATCTTCCACCGGTGGAGTGGGTGGGCAGCACATTCAAGACTGAACAAAGACAAAGATCCCCTGTACAGCCTGTAACAGATTGGGGGCAAGTGCTGTTAGCGAACAGCACCTATGAAGACGGGCACGGCACACTAGGGGTGGGTGGCCAGCACCACGCCTGGCCACCTTTGTCTCCCCAGTGACGAATTTACTGCACCAGGTACTCATTTGAGACTCAGTCGACCTAGGGGAGGCCCAGGACCGGTTCAGATAATCGTCACTGGTGTTGGCCGTGAGCGGGAATCGAACTCGGGTCGCCACGTTCGTTGAGCAGCGCGCTAACCGCTACACTACTGCTCCCCATATTCTAAACTAAACACACGTACAGACACACAAGTCGCTATTTGCAAATCAAATTTAATCACGCGCTATTCATTAACAGCGGAGACCATTTTCGTTTTGTTTGCACTCGTCACAGAATATTGGTGTGCACTCGATTATTACCACGTGACTTCTTCCCCCAATCACAAAGTCATATTCACGAGAAATTAAAATGCGGAAATCTACACATACATATATGCGTATTGACTGATCAATTAAGAACATGTGGATTGAGCGCGTCTGATGGCACGCAGCATGCAGTGTTTCGGATGCAAGACGAATCCCGGCTGAGGTGTTAGGTCAGGCAAGGGGCCCTCAGCGGGAGCTTGAAAGGAAAATGTGCGCAGGAGGCAGGCGAAGAAGATGAAGCTCTCCATAATGGCGAGGTTCTCTCCCAGGCAGGCCCGGAGCCCTGGTGGAGCAAAACAGCATTCCATTATTATTACTACTTGTGACGAGGTTAAAGAGAATCCCACCCCCATCGGCGGAGTTTATGGGGGGGGGGGGGGCAACGTCCTGCCATTTCAGTAGTTTACATACAAACATTAGAAATGTATTATATGCCTCCGCGATTCCTAATGTGAGGGACAAAGCGAACCCCTACCCCTCCCCCCCCAACTATAGAAGTCACACTGTGCCTATGTTTGGTGAGTTTTGTGAGAGTGGGCGTTGGAGCATTGCCCATGCATGTTAGGAAAGGTGATGAGAGTCTGAGCGTGGCTCATTCCACTTAAGGCTCCCCAGAGCTTGATTCCTGCTATATTATGCAAATAGAGATGCGGTACTGGGGTATACAAGGCAAAGTAGAACACTCCGAGAAGAGCTGGAGAAATGAAGGCCTCGTGCATCAGACACGAGCCACCAACAGGAAGACCTGATCATCTGCCGGAGTGTGGGAGCAACCCCACCCGAGGCTGCGAGAGGGGGCCCAAGCAGTGCTGACCCCGGGCGCTGGTAGTGCCAGATCTGGGACTGTGAGTGGCCTGCACCGGAGAGGGAGGTCTGTGTGTGTCGGGGGGTGCAGTGTCCGCTGCTAGAGTGTGGAGATGCGCCACACAAGGAGCCAAATGGAGGCTCCATTAACCGAGTTGGGAAAAGATCATGCCAGGAGGGGTGAATGCTCTCTCTATTTTAGTGGTTCTTAACCTTTACTGCAGCTTTGCCACCCCTTTGGTCCTCAATCATTAAGTAAAGTACAATGTCAATAACTACATAGGTTTGATGAAACAAAGTAGTTGTAAATTTTGATTTAAAGCTTTCGTGACTGAAGGGATTCATATTATTGGTTCCCTTCGACGTGACTTTACCGAAAGAACCAAGAATATAAAGTAGTTGTACTTACGTGCCCGTGCTTGATTTGTGTTTCGATGATTTACCGTCTTAAAAAAAAATCTGGCCATATCTCGCATCCCACAAGAAGGTCATATCGCACCCCCGGTTAAGAACCGCTGCTCTATAGGCCAGGGGAGCCTCATCCACTCATGTGGTGGGGGGGGGGGGGCTAAGCACTGTTGACAAAGGGCTGTGAGTTGCAGTGCACTCCGGTGCTCAGCGTGTGCTGTTGGGTTGTTGTGTGCTGTGGAGTGGGTTCGGTCAGTCGGTCGCTCTGGGGTACTGATTGTGGGTGATAATTTGCGGGGATGTACAGCCTCGTCGCTTGTTGTGAAGCGCTGCGAAGGTTACCGACACGTGAGTCGATGGATACCACGCATGCAACAAATCCGTCACAAGGGAGATACACAAAAAAATAGACAAAAAAATAGTTTTGCCCGTATTAAAACGGCTGCACGCGGTATGGACCTGAAATACTAAATTTCACTGTACAAGAATATGAGTAAACCGTATGGGTTGACAGCTATGAGGTTGCTTCCAACATTATCCGGCGGTCCGGGCCGATCCAGCAAAACCGGAAAAACCGCTTCAAAGGCTGCAACCAGTCCGGCGATCGTCCAACACAATCATGGTCGTGTTGAAACAAGAGAGTAGTACTACGTACATCACCCCATGCAGAGTCTTAGAGATTAAGATTGGTAAATACGTTACAGTAAATACCTTTAACAGTAGGATATTTATTTTTGTCTATTTGTATGTTTATTTATGCCAATTTCACATAGTACATGCATTTAAAAGACAAAATATATACACAACACCTAAAAACATTATGTTATGCAAGAATGGGCAAATAATGATGATTCGGGATTATCCTGAGTATTTGAATATCCGGTGCCCCCTTCACCCCCCGAAGCCGCCGGATAATCGACTGTGTATATTAAATAAGAATAACATGTACCTGCAGAGAAGGGCAAGGCGGCTTCTCTTTTACAGAACTTGCCACTCGTGTCAAGGAAGTGGTTCGGGTTGAACTCGAAGGGCGCCTCCCACTGCGATGGGTCCTTGAGCACCGAGTGGAGCATAGGGATCACGTACGTGCCCTGTGGGGCCCAGGGAACAGAGGTCAAAATCTCCCCCGCACCACCGATTTTAGCACGGGTTTGGCAAAGTACGGTGCGAGAAGTTTAAACCGTACACAACGGTACGGGTATGTATAAATCGCCACACACGTGTCGCATCCGGAGGCTTGAAAACCATTTTAAGTGACTGGCAGAGGTTTGCGGTTCCAAGGCAGACGGCCACCCTGGTAATTATTACCGTGGGTGGTGTAATAACCGCATGAATAGTGCACGATGTCCGATCCACAGTGGATATTAAAGATCCCAAGATATCGTTGGAAATGTGTAGGCCATGGTGTTGCCGGCGTCAGGGGTCCAAAAGTTCCAAATTCAAGAAATGACCCCCCCTCCCCGCAACTAATTCATCATTCGGGGATTACCCAAAGAAGTCCTCACTACCTCGTGGCAAGCTGAATGCCGTTTGCAGGGAAGGTGTTGTCACCTTGTACCTACAGATTGAAAACTAATTTCCCTCTCGATTAAAAACTCTAGGTTGAAAACTCATTCTTTCGAACTGCTTTTTGTTTTTAGTTTGTTGCCCCCCCCCCGCACCTCCAATTATCATGCTTTTTGTTAAACGCTTTATTTTATTTTACCAGGTAAAGCCCACTACTGAGCTCTGTAGCTCTTTTTCAGATGCGACCTGGCTATCACAAATGATAGCGCAACGAAGTGGCTTATCACGTGGAAAATTACAGCAGCCAAATACTCTAAACGCATGTTTTTAAATGTGGAAGGAAAAACCGGAAGACCTGGGGAAAAATCCACACGACCACGGGGATAGAGAGACATGCAAATTCCAAAAATACAGGTGTCAGGGTCGGTTGGGATCGAACCCACGAAGTCCTGTATACCAGGTAAGGTAGTTAACATCTTGCCACCACGTCCGATGCGGAATATGTTCAACATGCATACATAGGGACAACTGTCACTCGGTGTGCCTTTCAAAAGCTTGAGGTGTGATGTTAGTTGCTCTCAAATGCCGCGGTGTAAAGGACGCACTATAAAAACAAATATTTGTCCTCATTTTATGACTGCGAAAAATGTTTCATACATTCTAAATTGTATGTCTGCTCGCTATTCCTCTTTCTTGTTTGGGAATGTGTAGAATATAACAGGCGACCATAAAATAGAGAGGGAGCGGGGGGAATTGTACGGCGACGAACCTTTGGAAGGAAGTATCCCTGGAATGTTGTGTCGGAGGTCGTCGAGTGCATCAAGTTTGTGGGTACAAAGGAAGAAAATCGCAAGACCTCGTGGACCACGGCGTTTGTGAAGGGCATGACATTCCGGTCGGCATACGTCAACCTCCGCGATGGACCCACCGCATTGTCGATCTCTTCGTGAACCCGCGCTGCAATGCAGGGAAACAGCTGTGAGCGTGCAAATTGAAAATTCGTTTTCTTTTTACTTTACATGATTTCTGGGAGCATTTTCGTAAGGTCGGATTTCCGTACGAATAGTGTGAGCACCTCCGATTAGCATGGTTGGCTACGTACGATGCGAAAGAAGTTCAACAAACATTCCATGCTGACGGAACATCCATGGCTTAGAGATGAATGCGCGCGGCAGTCATTTTAGGCGAGATTGAGCTGCGATAGACCTAACGTTGCACGCGTTGGGATGTTGCGTGGGTGGTCACTCAAAGAGCAGGCAGAATTTACCACCACCTTGCTCACCATTGGGTGGGACTCGCAAGGTGTCGAGGGGAAAGTGCTCATCTCCAGCAACAAGTGATTAATTTACTCGCTCACCATTGGTCAATTGTGATTGCTCTTCGAATAACACATTCCTGCGGAGGGAGCTGGTAGGAACGTTGGGTTGCTCGGTCAATGGCCAGGGTCAACGGCGGCGTGGTGTATTCCGCAAATATGTCCGACTGTGAGGGCGGGCACAAGTCGGCGTGAGTAGGTTCAACGTTGAGTTTTATAAGGGCACCACGGGGTGACCAGTCCCTCCCAACCCAGCCCCACCCCTCCCACCCCCCACCCAGCCCCAACCTCCCCACCCCCCACCCAGCCCCACCCTCCCCACCCAGCACCTTCCCACCCTCCCCACCCAGCCCCTCCCCCTCCCCACCCTCCCCAGCCCCTCCCCACCCTCCCCTCTCCACCCAGCCCCTCCCCACCCTCCCCTCTCCACCCAGCCCCACCCCTCCCATTTTATCCGGATGTCCGGATACACGTGGACAGACATCCACAGACATACCCAATTAATCCCCTGCCTCCTGTGAATTAATCCCGGTTGAGCTTCCAGTCCACTTCGTTTCCTACCAGTAATGCCCACTCGGAGCGCATTTGTTATATATCCGGGTGTCTGGATACACGTGGACAGACATCCACAGACATACACGATTAATCCCCTGCCTCCTGTGATAATCCCGGTTGGGCTTCCAGTCCACTACGTTTCCTACCAGTAATGCCTACTAGGAGCGCATTTGTTATATATCCGGGTGTCCGGATACACGTGGACAGACATCCACAGACATACACAATTAATCCCCTGCCTCCTGTGAATTAATCCCGGTTGGGCTTCCAGTCCACTACGTTTCCTACCAGTAAAACAACCTGAACGTTGATGCAGAGCTTTGATTTAAAGCAATTGGGTAGGCAAGCCCGATGTAATTGGTTAAGTGTAGAGTGGCCCTCCCATTGGCTAGGGATGGCTCGGGGCTATGTTTAAAATGAAGGTAGAGGACGTGGTCACACCAGTAGCTACTGTACTTGCAATGGAGGCCAGCTGGACTTCCAGCTAGACTTCCAGCTCGACTGCCAGCTGCACTACCAGCTGCACTACCAGCTAGACTACCCACTGGACTTGCGGCTGAACTTCCAGCTGGACTACCAGTTGGAATATCAACTGCAGTCCAAGCTGGAATACCAGCTGCACTGCCAGTTGCACTACCCAGTTGGACTACCAGTTGCACTACCAGCCGGACTAACAGCTGCACTAGCAACTGCAGTGGAGACTGAAGGCGAGTGTATTCGGTTCACCAGCCACTGGCAACTACCACAATTTATGCTGAGTAAACTCCTACGTTCCCTTTATCAATTACACAAAACAATAGAAGTGGAGACAGGAGAGACTCATACAGAGATAGTGTTTTCTAGAACTGGGAGCGAGATCAGTGCTTGAAAAGTCGTGCAGTCTTGTCTCTGCTGAGCCAGTTTCCAGAGGGTCTATAGGTTCTGCTCTTGCCATCCACTCCGTGATTTTCTGCAAGGAATTTTGTGTAACCTCTGTTGCAAAAATTATGGGCATTATTCGCATCTCGCTGGAATGGGTGCTTATGGGTGTTCTTTTGGAAATTAGCTGTGAAATATTTGCCAAAAATTCCCCAGTAGCAATCATCGGCCCCCCTCTACTGTCAGACTAATGCCTGATCGCAGGCCAGGTGCTGAGTTGCCTTGGGGTGCCACGGTGGCGAGATGTTAACTACCTTGCCTGGTATGCAGGGGTCGTGGGTTCGATCCCGACCCTGACGCCTGTATATTTGTACTTTGCATGTGTGGTGTTACGGCCTCGAAGCCACTCTGCAAGCGCCGCGACTCCCCCCTGGCCCCCACACTGAATACACACACGCAGCGTACACACGGAGTGTCCTGGCGGGGGATTGCTTGGCACAACGGGTTTTAATCCGAAAGGTCCCTATGAGGAAAGTCCCCCGGTTACCCAGTGCCAGGGGATTGGCCGACCCTCGCAGGACAATTTGCATCGCAGTGCTCCTGAATTGCCTTAATAGTGTATGGGCGCAAAAAAGTTACTGGGCCAGCCGCGATGAATCATTCACGGCGTCGGGAAAAGCCGGGGCAGAAAAAGTGAGAAAAGCATACGATGAGGTCAGGGGAGCACAGGGCCACGATCCCCCCCCCTGACCCCCACACCAAATACACACCCTCTAGGGGTGTTAATCCGGATAAACAAAAGTGAGTGATGCGTTCTTCAGTGCGGAAGGGCAGACACTGGATCGCGGAAGCACCGGCCGCGGCGATCCACGTGTCATGTAGCACTCAGATACGCTGTCTTGCTTAAGTTTTATTTCTATTTTTATTATATATTAGTCCACCCGACTCGATGACATGTTATCAGGTGGACGCATGTTGACTAAATACAACTGGGGGACTCTATGTAGCTACTACACGCCGTTCACTATATAGCTGACTAACTATATAGGAGCCGTCGATGTTGTAGCCACGGCAAAGATATATAACGTCTTCGCCAGCCTTCTAAGACGATGAGGGCAATCCACTCTCTCTCCCCTCGGCTCTGCCACGCCCCTTTTCCCAAACTCTCTCCTGTGCCTCACTATAACACTCCGGGGGTTCCAGCTCTACCCCCGCGTTGACTCCTCGCCCAGTTACCTCACTTGACCCTGCCTGTTCTCATCGCTGCAATCATTATTTACGGCCACTAGGCCCCGTATTGTCCTTACGAATGTAAGGGCGAAAACCCAAGCAGTAACCACAGGCTGGCACACGATTGGCCGCGCGGTACGATGCGACCCTGGGCTGTTAAAGTCAGGGGGATAAAAAGGGGAGCCCGGGGGCTGTTCAAAAGAGTAAATGTTAAACATCTTGGCCGTCAAGACCCCCCTGCCCATTCTGCCTTCAGCAGCTCGCAGCATCCGTGTGACGCTTGTGAGTGCCACTACGAGGCAGTGTTCGGCAAGGCTTTCTCGTCCTCTTCCCTCCTCCGCCTCTCACAGCGTGCACGTGACGCCGTGAATACAGCTACGAGGTATGTGTGGTAGAATGTTTGAGTGACTGGGTGCGTAGGCAGCAGTAGGCTCGGCTTTTCTCGCAAGATACTCCTGGGTAGGGGCGGCTGGGCAGCTTGCTGTAAAGCGACAGCGTGTACAAGCTGAGTCCTGAACGCACGGTGAGAGTGAACGCGGGGTGGTGATCGCGCGCTCGCAGCCCCCTTTTGTCAGCGGGGGGGCCACGGTGTGCACGGGCATGCACGTTAAGAGTTAATCGCCTGCAGATGGAAGTGTGCAGTCGCCGCAGCGCAGCTGATAGCTAGTTAATCGCTCGCAGGTGATAGAACGGTGTGCGGCCCCTCTGTTCGCGACAGCTGCGGTATGCACGGGCGTGTGTTTAACCCCGTGCAGCTCCGAGGCCAGCAGCATGAGCGTGGGGGGCCCCATCACTCGGTCGGCGGGGGCCCGGCGGGAGCCGAACGACACGGTGGAGGAGGGAGCGGAACGGGCGGACGTCGCGCCCCACCTGCCCAGCGAGGGCGGCAGGGTGGACATCGGTCCTCACACATGTTCTCCCTGTGGTTGTATGGATTCTTCTCTGGGTCCTCCGGGTTTTCCCTCCACATTTATAAACATGCGTTTAGAGTATGTGGCTGCTATAAATGTCCACACGAGGATAAGCCACTTTGTTGGGCTCTCATCTGTGGCCAGGTCGCTTCTGAAAAAGAGATACATAGCTCAGTGCGGGCCTTACCTGGAGAAATAAAAATAGTTGGTTTGTGACCACCACAGGGACTGCTGTTGCTTGGGGGTGTGTTGGGAGCTATGGGAGTGTTGAATATCTGCGATGCTGTCAGTAAATGAGGAAGGGACGATGGCTGTTTTTAAGGGGAATCCTGATTTAGTTGTATAATGCCACCCAGGGTCCTATTTGAGAAAGGGTTTTTTCTTTCTTTTTGTGCCTCAAATCTGCTCAGTCCCAAAGTGGGCACATTCGGACAATGCACACATTATTATCAGAGCATGTTTGTTTGCATGGTTTACCAAAAGTATGTATGGTTCATGACGTTTCGATCGCAACACAAGCAATCGACATCAGGTGGGACAACCACAGCAAGAACAAACTGCTGAAGTAGGCGAGAGATCGGCCGTGGCACGAGGTTATATAGGCCTCGGCAGTAGGGGGGAGAGGAGGTGGGGGGAGAGAGGGGGGACGGGGCAGAGAGTGGACCCCGCGGCAGCACCCGGGTCACTGGAGTAAAGTGGACCACCGCGGCAGCACTGGAGAGATTGGCTGCAGGGGGAGAGAGAGAAGGGGGGGGGGGAGGAGGCGGGGCAGAAAGTGGACCCCACGGCAGCACCCGGGTCACTGGGTCCACTTTCTGCCCCCCCCCTTCTCTCTCCCCCCCTGCAGTCGATCTCTCAGATCTCTCCAAGTGCTGCCGCGGGTTCCACTTTCTGCCCCTCCCCCTACCTCCTCTCTCCCCCCCTACTACCGAGGCCTATATAACCTCGTGCCACGGCAGATCTCTCGCCTACTTCAGCAGTTTTTTCTTGCTGTAGTTGTCCCATCTGATGACGATTGCTTGTGTTGCGATCGAAACGCACTTTACCGAAAGAACCAAAGAGTATGGATTCCTGCAGTCACGAAAGCTTCAAATCAAGATTATGTGTGGTTAATACAGACTTTCTCCCTTGAAAAATGTATCCATTTGGTTTGTGAACATCTTAACACCTAATGTTTTATTGCCAGAAATGGTAAAACACATACTTATTAGTGTAGTGACGCATATTGAGTCACTATGGTGTTTAGCGCCAGCTATTGGAAGAAGAGTGGTACTGTGCATGTTAGCGTCTCTCTGGCACCAGAGTGTGCATGGCATAGAAGCGGGCCCTTGGGGGCACGCTTCTAGTGACGGCCAGAGAGAGGGCACTTCAGGACATGACAGTCTGGGTGAACCCGAGAGGGCACGTGACCAGGAGAGGGTAGCGAGGGGGGCCAAGGGGTGGCGAGAGAGACACGTGACATAAGGCCCAGAACCTTCTAGTAGGGTCTATAAGGGGACATGGCCTAGGGCGGAGCCAGGCCACGCTCAGGGGCATAAAAGGAAGGTCCGTATTCAGGAATCTCGCTCCTCGCTCTTCGGTCATCACGTTTGGCATCGTGAGTCAGGCAGTACCTTACTGACCTGACTCAGATGAGTAGTTATCCTGTTGGGGTCTGAGTTAACCGTGGTAGTAATAAACATGTTGCCTCCAAGTTCAAGTGTGTGCCTCCGTGAAGAACACTACATTAGTAATAGCACGTGTATATTCATTATAAAGTGTCTGTCTCCCCCCTCCTCATTTCTCTGTGGTGAGGTACAATTTCATTTGCATAATTGTTACCTAGCACACATGGAATTTTGGGCCCACAATGAGTTGCCATGTCCTCATTTCGTGCTCTCCAATGAAAACTGCACCCCCCCGAAGTGTGATATTATTGTGCGGGATGGCAGAAACTTTCCACATCGTACAGTGGTCCCTTGGTTTACGATGCCATCGAGTAACGATCCGCCTCTCCAAAGGGTCCCCATTGTTTATATTAACGATACATTTTCGATTAATGGTTATGTTTACTGTATCACGCGGACCCGCCCATTTCGGCTAATTGGAGCGCTCCTAAGTGGACTCAGCTGACCTCAGCCAATCATCGACGCCCATCTGAGCGTTTTGAGAGCAACTGGCTCGCTTAACTCCTTAAACCATCTATATTCTAAGCCTAATATAAGCAATTGTATTTTATGGTCTATTTATGCACCTTCTTATGCTCTATAAAGATGGCAACAGTGCTTCGCCAGCTGACTGCAGTCACCGTTTGCTCTTACAGTGAGGGAAAAAAGTATTTGATCCCCTGCTGATTTTGTACATTTGCCCACTGACAAAGAAATGATCAGTCTATCATTTTAATGGGAGGTTTATTTGAACAGTGAGAAACAGAATAACAACAACAAAATCCAGAAAAACGCATGTCAAAAATGTTATAAATTGATTTGCATTTTAATGAGGGAAATAAGTATTTGACCCCCTCTCAATCAGACAGATTTCTGGCTCCCAGGTGTCTTTTATACAGGTATCGAGCTGAGATTAGGAGCACACTCTTAAAGGGAGTGCTCCTAATCTCAGCTTTTACCTGTATAAAAGACACCTGTCCACAGAAGCAATCAATCAATCAATCAGATTCCAAACTCTCCACCATGGCCAAGACCAAAGAGCTCTCCAAGGATGTGAGGGACAAAATTGTAGACCTACACAAGGCTGGAATGGGCTACAAGACCATTCCCAAGCAGCTTGGTGAGAAGGTGCCAACAGTTGGTGCGATTATTCGCAAATGGAAGAAACACAAAAGAACTGTCAATCTTCTTCTTGGTTCTTTGGGTAAAGGCACGTTTCCACTCTACGTGACTTTACCGAACGAACCAAGAAGATGAATCCCTGCAGTCACGAAAGCTTTAAATCGAAACTGTCAATCTCCCTCGGCCTGGGGCTCCATGCAAGATCTCACCTCATGGAGTTGCAATGATCATGAGAACGGTGAGGAATCAGACCAGATCTACACGGGAGGATCTTGTCAATGATCTCAAGGCAGCTGGGACCATAGTCACCAAGAAAACAATTGGTAACACACTACGCCGTGAAGGACTGGAATCCTGCAAGGTCCCCATGCTCAAGAAAGCACATATACATGTCCGTTTGAAGTTTGCCAATGAACATCTGAATGATTCAGAGGACAACTGGGTGAAAGTGTTGTGGTCAGATGAGACCAAAATGGAGCTCTTTGGCATCAACTCAACTCGCCGTGTTTGGAGGAGGAAGAATGCTGCCTATGACCCCAAGAACACCATCCCCACCGTCAAACATGGAGGTGGAAACAATATGCTTTGGGGGTGTTTTTCTACTAAGGGGACAGGACAACTTCACCGCATCAAAGGGACGATGGACGGGGCATGTACCGTCAAATCTTGGGGGAGAACCTTCCCTCAGCCAGGGCATTGAAAATGGGTCGTGGATGGGTATTCCAGCATGACAATGACCCAAAACACACGGCCAAGGCAACAAAGAAGGATTAAGAAGAAGAAGAAGCACATTAAGGTCCTGGAGTGGCCTAGCCAGTCTCCAGACCTTAATCCCATAGAAAATCTGTGGAGAGAGCTGAAGGTTCGAGTTGCCAAACGTCAGCCTCGAAACCTTAATGACTTGGAGAAGATCTGGAAAGAGGAGTGGGACAAAATCCCTCCTGAGATGTGTGCAAACCTGGTGGCCAACTACAAGAAATGCCTGACCTCTGTGATTTCCAACAAGGGTTTTGCCACCAAGTACTAAGTCATGTTTGCAGAGGGGTCAAATACTTATTTCCCTCATTAAAATGCAAATCAATTCACAACATTTTTGACATGCGTTTTTCTGGATTTTTTTGTTGTTATTCTGTCTGTCACTGTTCAAACAAACCTACCATTAAAATTATAGACTGATCATTTCTTTGTCAGTGGGCAAACGTACAAAATCAGCAGGGGATCAAATACTTTTTTCCCTCACTGTAACGTGCCCCTACTATTGGTTACTCCCATGCCTTTCCCCATTTTTCCTTCACTTTTCCTCGATTTTCTTTGATCCTTCCCATCTTAAGCGTTCTTCTTATTTATTTAGTTTTATTATTTTCTTCATTATTATCATTACTTTGGCTCGACATGGTTCGTCCCCCGCCCAACACTTCCAGCGAGTGGGAGCTCGGCGGGGCTCGTCCGCCAAGCAACATCAGCGAGTAGGAATTGGACGTGGTTCGCCCCCCACTAAACACCACCACCACCAGTGAGTCGGACCTTGGTATGGCTCGCCCCCCACTCAGCTCCACCACTCGCTCGGCACTCAGCAACAACACCAGTGAGTGGGAGTTCGGTGCGTCTCGTCCCCTGCTCGGCACCAACAGCCAGTGAGAGCTCGGCATGGCTGGGCCCGCGCTCAGTACCACCTGCGAGCAGGAGCATGGCATGGCCTGCCACCCACTCACCACCACCACTACTCCTGCGACCTATTTGCTTGCTGCCCGCTAACGCAAGGCCTGACGCTGCAGGCGCCACTACTTGCGCTGCCTGCCAGTCACCTTTGTTGTATTTGTTGCTGTATTTGTTTCTGTTTGACGCTGTTGGGCCTAGAGCTACAAGTGGTAAGGCAGGACCTGTTAATTTCCTGCCTAGGGTGCTCCCCTTGATCGGCATTCATCCAAATCTTGGTCCATCCAGGTATACTTGTCTTTCCCGTGATTTCCTGATCAGCCTCCATTGTAATGATCGCTCTCAGGATCTCAACTGTACTGTTGGCGCTGAACACTGTTCACTCGGCCTCTTACGGGGACGATGTTTAAAACACAGTGATCCTCGTGGATGCAGAGTTAGCAAGGGTCACAAATTACGTGCCTAGTGCCTCCAATAGATATGTTAAGGGTCTTGTTTGGTTCACACTTCTTAATGTACGATCGCTGAGCAGCAAGGCATTGCTTGTTAATGATCTTATCACCGACAGGTCTATTAATCGCATGTGTCTAGTCGAGACCTGGCACTGGCCTTGTGACCATCTTTTACTTTTTGAGGCTGTGCCACCTGGATTCTCTCTTTTTGAGATGCCATCATCGTCAGGTCGTGGTGGTGGCCTTGCACTTATCAGTGCTAATTCTACTATGCCGCATCAACTATGCAACTCATGGTATATCTCTTCTGATTGTGTTAGTTATCGCCCACCAAAGCTGTCTCTCCTTTCCTTGAAATATTTCACAGTTATTCTCCATGCTCTGCCCCCGCTACGACCGGATACAGTTGCTTGGCGATTTGAATACCCATGTTGATGAGCCAACTAATCCTTTTGCCAGGGACTTTCTGGCAACTCTTGATGTGTTGAGTTTCATTCAGCATGTTCAGGGAACCTACCAATTCCGATGGTCATACTCTGGATCTGGTTTGCTCTACTGCTGTTCACGTGAGTAATCTATCAGTGTTCGATGTGGGTCTATCTGACCATTCTACAGTGTCCTTTGAAATGTCCTTATTTTGCCTTGCTCCTTCCTATAGTCAGATCTCCTTTCGTAATTTGAAATCCATTTGTCCAGCTACCCTTACTGATGCTTTATATCTCTCGGTTTTATCTGAGTCCAATCTACTCCCTATTGATGAGGCTGTGCTTGAGTATAACTCTACACTCTCTGATAGTCTGGATTCCATGACTCCCCGTAGGTCCCGATTAATTTCAGCCAGCCAGCCGTCCCCTTGGTATTCACCAGAGCTAGAGACCCTTTAGTTCAAAGCTCGTCAATCTGAACAGTTTTGGAAGAAAGGCCTCACTTCATCGTCTTTGGTTTAAGAAATCGTTATTTGTGCAGAATCAATCTCCCCCACCCCATGATTTGAAAAATGTGGAATGGGGTTTATTTTAGGTGAAAGCAGTTATAACTGGGCCTTGGACCCACAACTTTCTAATTATGAACATTGTGCTCTTTAACTACTGTATATATAATCCAGCCAGATCCTCCTGAAAAAAATGAAGAGACAAGTGGATCATTCTGCATTGCAATACATTTTTTTATTTTACCGCCAACTATTTTCAGACTTACTCTGTATGTCAGGGTGTTTCACCATGAGGTAGAGAGCCCATTGGAGCAATGTGGAGGTTGTTTCGGTACCTGCTTGAAACAGGTTGATTACCGAGATGTGAAGGGATTTTTCACAAAATGATGAATCGGCTTTTCCGGACTCCTGAAAATGTAATGGAATATATAGTTAGAAATATAGTGTGGTATAGTATCTGCATCGTCAATGTTAATATTCTCTTCGGCTACTGGAGTAGACCCATAGTTACTCTTGACATACGCGGCAGATTCGGCCTCTGGGATGCGTAGAGCGCCAGTCTGCTCCACTATTTCCGACCAATGGTAATTTAGAGGCGGAGTGAGGCTAATTTCACCACCACCACAATGTGATGCCATCGTGATGCATTCCCCACCCTACTGATGGTTTAACACGTAGGTTTTCACGATCAATATTATCCATAATAGGGGTTTTTGGGTTAGATCGCGTAACTATAAATGTGTTGGTACTGGATATCCATTGTAATTTATTTGCATACATTACCCCCCCCCCCCCCCCACATCTGGCCTTTGCACCTGATTGGCTTACAGTGACGACATCACATTTATCTCTCTATTTAAGACCGTAACAGGAGGAAGATTTCTCCACAATTCTGGCTATCGCCTGACGATTCTAGTTGTAATTACTGGCGGAATGTTGTACCCTTAATTGTAAATTATATGGATTTACTCTCCAACACACCGGTGTGCTGTACTAGTGTAGAGGAGTAGTGTGGGTATGCCATGAGGGGGCGAGCGGAAGGAGATGCGAACGGGTTGAGAGTCATGTGGGGCCAAGGATGATGTAACATTACGGGTTACGGAAGGGGCTTTCGGATGGTGCATGCGAGAAGGTGGGCAGTACTGAGCTGGGGGGAGGAGCCGCCCAAATGGATTCTTAAGGGGGACCCGGGGACGGGTGCGGGGTCGTCGTTGGGGGCCAGAGTAAGGAGCGGCTGGAAGAGGGTCTCTCTCCTCGTCGCAGAGCGGTGTTGGCTGATCCCCCGCTCCGGGCAGACGAGTGAGAGAGTCGAGGGGATTGCCGGGGTAGGCTATCCCCTCGAGTTCGATTCCTACTCACCGCCAACACCAGTGACATCTGAACTGGCCCTGGGCCTCCCCTGGGTCGACTCAGCCTCAAATTAGTACCTGGTGCAGTATGTAAAACATCACCACTGGGTAAACAAAGGCGGCCGGGAGTAGTTTTGACCACCCACACCCTCGTGTGTTGTACTGGTCTTCATAGGTGCTACTCACTAACAGCACTTGCCCCAACAGTTTGTTATAGGCTATATGGGGGGGATCTTTGTCTTTGTGCGGTCTGTGCAGAATAGATCCGTTTGTGATGGAACGCATACGCATCTGCCACTCGTTTCCAGTCAGGGGTGAAAGGTCAGCTGTTGCCCGCCCCCCAGCGTTCCCTGTGTGGTTGCATGCCCAAGTACAGTGATTTTTGTACATGGCTGAGCTTCGGATTGAAATTTGCAAACCTCGGTGATCTTATCGAGAAATGCATCGATGTAATCTCGAGGCTCGCCCGCGCTCCTCGTGGCGCGATGCTTGGCAATGCTGGATTTCACGAACTTCGTGAACTGGACTAAGTTTTTGATGACCTTTCTGTGTGGCCCAGGACAGTGCTTCAAAATGGGCAAAAAATTTACCATCTGTAAAAGAAACATTGGCGAAGCGTTAAAATCCTTCATAAGAAAAACAATGCGCACAAATAAGAGGGGTTGATTAACAAACATGTTTTGCCGGAATGAGACTGCTGCCTACACCTAACGAAGAAAATTCACTCACCTGAGCCCAAGCATTTCCAGTCAATTTGACATCTTCATTTATTAATGTAATTAGATGCAGAAACTCTTCATCGCTGTAGTCAAAGCGTTTCCCAAATACAAGGGAACAGATGATATTAGACACTGCTGGCTGGATGGAGGAAACAATGTCGCATGGTTTCTCTAAAAACAAAGAAAATAATAATAAAAAAACAGTCGCAAACCTTTTTAAGCATTACTTGTTTTTAAGAAAGTAATATTTCATGCAGTAGACTCTCGATTATCCGTGCTACGGACAGGGAGGGCGGCCGCGAATAATACAAAATCGCGGATCCGAAAATATCCATTTTCTGCAGAAGCTCACTGAGTGGATGACAGCAGAGCCGAGCCATTCAAAATCAATCAAACTCCACCCGCCGTCATCATTGGCAGTCCCTTGGAGTTTGAGGATGACATCCATCAGGTTTAGTGGTGGTTCTTCAGGTGGCTGAGGAGTTCTATTCCGGATCAACAGATAATTGGGCAATAATGGCACGTGGTCCCAGATGGAAGTGGAATCAACAGTGCCGGGTTGGTTTCCCTTTTTTTCTGGCATTGATCCACTATGGCATAGAGATGTTGGGTCTCGAAGTGGGCCGTGGCCTGGTGGATGCAGCGGTGCCACCCGAGGCGGTCAGCAACCTGCTATTCTCAGTCTTGAAGGCTGATTTTTCCGCACTTCAGGGAGGACTTGAGGGTATCCTTGAACCGCTTCCTTCATCCTCCCCTCGTTCACTGACCAATGGAGAGCTGGGTGAAAAGGATCTGGCAGGGAAAGCAGTTCTTGGGCATGCGGATGCAGTGGCCGGTCCACCAGAGTTTTTTTTATTAGAAGTATCGCTTCAATGCTGGTAGTGTCAGTTAGAAGGAGGACACTCGCATTGGTGCATTGATCTTCTCACTTGGCAGCGCTGATGGAAGCACTCCAGTGCAGTGACATGGCACCGGTAGGTTGTCCATGTTTTGCTGAAGTAGATGAGCATTGGGATGACAACGGCCCAGTAAACTAGGAGCTTTGTTGACCTGTAGAAATCTTTGCTATTGAAGGCGGTGCTGTCGCAGTTTGTAGAAGGCGGCGCTGGTGCATTGCACTCAATGTTGGATCTCCTCGTCGACAGTGGCCATTTGGGAGAGATGAATACCGAGGTAAGGGAAATACTCCACAAATTCAAGTGCCTCTTCATCGACATAGATTGTCGGAGGGTTGTTTGGTTGATTGGATGGCGGTTGGTGGAGGATTTTGGTTTTGGTGATGTTCAAGGTTAAGTCTCTTATATGCAGAGTTCAATACATCGAGGGTCATTTGGATGTCCCACACAGAGTGAGCCACCACGCAGCAGTCGTCTGCAAACTGCAGATCATGGATATCCTTTGTGGTAAGCTTCTACTTTGCCCGAAAACGTCCAAGGTTGAAGAGCTTCCCATCCAGACGGTACTGGATGCTGACGCCAGATGGAAGGCGACCGTCGGCGAGGAGGGTGACCATGACCATATAGATAGTGAATAAGGTGGGGCGATCACACAACCCTGTCTGACACTTGTTTGGATCTGAAAGGCATCGGTTTCAGATCCCCCACTTCGCACGGTGGTGGTCATGTCGTTGTGCAGGAGCAACAGGATGGTGGCAAACTTCTCCGGACATCCAAGATGGTGGAGGATACTCCAATGGGCTTCCCGGTTGAGGGAGTCAAATACCTTGGTTAGGTCGATGAATGCCAAGAACAGTTCTTGATGCTTCGCTTGACACTTTTCTTGAATCTGCCGGGCAGCAAAGACCACATTTGCAGTGCCCCAGGATGGACGGAATCCGCACTGTGTCTCCGGCAGGACTTTCTCAGCAACAGGATGGTCACACTCCTGAGGTTGCTGGGGAGGTCTTCTTTGTGCCAGATCCAGAGGATCAGCTTGTGGAGCCTTGCAGAGAGCAGGTGGCTGCCAGCTTGGAAGACGTTAGCTGGGATGCTATCTGGACCGCAGGCTCTGTTGGACTTCTTCTTCTTGATGGCACACCTCAGTTCACCGATGGTTGGTGGCTCGCTGAGGTGGTGCTTTATGGGGTTTTGCAATTGCCTTTTCCACCCACCAGCTGTTCTTCATGGCGCGGATCTGCTATTTTGTTTTCGGCCTTTAGTTGGTGGTAAGATACAGTCCTGTGCCGTGTCCTCGGGTGGTTTTGGCATGCGAGGAAGGCAGCAGCTTACACTCAAGGAGGTCACGGACCTGGGTGCATTTTGAGTCAAACCAGTCCTCTTGTCTTCGTGGTTCGTAGCCGATGGTCTAGGCACACGAGTGTAGTACAGTGGTTTTGAGCTGGTTCCATTGTGTGTGGATGGCGGTGGCCTCTGGCATCGTAAGGTTTTCCAATGCGGTATCAAGTTGTGCTTGACGCTCCTCTCGCTTTCCAGGGGCCTTTAGTGCTGAAAGATTCAGCTTTTTCTGGCTGGTCTTCCTGGTCTTCCGGTGTCTCAGTGCCAGATGAATAACCATCATGGAGCGCACAAGACAGTGGTCGATCGGATCCCTTCATTTTTGTAAAGAGAATGTCTCTCAGATCACTGGCACGGATGATGACATAGTCCAGGAGGTGCCAGTGCTTGGACCTGGGGTGCTTCCATGTGTTTTTTTGTTGGTCTTTCTGGCGAAAGACTGTGTCTGTTGTGATCAGGCCGTATGGTCAGGAGGAGGATGCTGTTGGCGTTGACTTTTCCCACCCCGTCCTTGCCAATAGTTCCACTCCAGATGCTGTGGTCACGTCCAACCCGGGCATTGAAGTTGCCTAGGAGTATGACCTTGTCGCTTCTCGGGATGGCGGTGAGGGTGTCATCGAGATCAGAGTAGAACTGCTCTTTAATGCCATCGTCCATGTCGAGGGTCGCGGGATAGGCGCTGATGACAGCTGCATGTTGGTTTTGGTTTAGGTGGAGGCATAGGGTCATCAGCCTTTCGTTGATGCCTGTGGGAAGTTCCGTCAGCAATCTCAATTTTGACTGCGAAGCCGACTCCATTGATCCGAGGTTCACTGTCCAGCTTCGCCTTCCAGAAGAAGGTATACCCTGCTCCTCTTGTTTCCCTCAGTTGTCCCTCTCTGGGTAGTTGTGTTTCACTGAGAGCAGCAATATCAATGTAGTGCTTCGCTAACTCTCTGGACACAATGGCTGTTCTTCGTTTTGGGCAATCACTCTTGATGTTGTCCATGAGTGTTCTTACATTCCATGTGGCAAAATGTATCTTTCTTTTAGTTTATTTTCATCCATTTAGTTTTTGTTTTGTTTTTGTTCGACCAAAAGTTATGGTGACCCCGCTTGGTGCGGTTTCCCAGCCAGGAAATGTGGGATAGCCTACATTGAAGGCACATTTTCTAGCCCCTTCCCCCATTTGAGGGTGAGCAGAGGGCATCCTAAAGAGGACTGCTCAGCCACAGATGTTGCTGCCAAAGGACACCTCTATTCTGGTGCGGGTGTCCAAAGACCATCACACATCCACCGCCTGCATGCAGAGTCTTTACTGAGGGATTCCCGATTTACAGCTCTGCCCCCTTCGCTAATTGTTCATCGCTGCAGGACTTTTCACTAACCTGATGAAAACCTGCAAGTGGAGTTGATTTCCGTGGGGAACCCGGTGTGCAGGTGGGATCCACACGATTTTGACGGGTTAGTGGCTGGGTCCAGTGGCATGGCGAGCTGCGACGATTGGAGCCACTTTTCCCGTTGCAGCTTTCGTCTGCCTTTACAGCCATGGAGTCCAACAGTGTTTGCCTATTCTGTCGTTGAGGACTTCTTGGATCGCTTTTAGTCTGGAACTTCTCCTTTGCCTTTGCAGCCGTGGGTGGGTGACCCTACAAGGAGTGCGAGGCTCCCGACGGCTTCGCTCTTGGGATCATTGGAACACGCAAACCTCTCTACCACAATAAGTTGTCGATCCTTGGAAGAGGAAACTCCACTCACTGTTGTAAAGATATTCAACTACTGTACTATAGAGGTCATCACATCGATTTCGAATTAACCGGAGCAACATATTTGTTTGGTTTAAGCACGTGACTTGTTATAAAGATTTTCAAGAATAACAATGTAGAACTGTTTTTAGATTATTAATTTGGGCTTAAGGGAAAATTAATGATTTATTAATTTATTTCAAAATCTCAGGTGTGCGGTTTATCCACAAATCTGATCTTATCTTCATGGAAGTTATACAGCTTCTTCTTCCGTGTCTCCTGTCCAACCTAGACAGTCTTTTCCCAATATTATGCACAAGCTCATGACATAATGAAATTAAATGAATTCTTAATTTATTCAAATATTTTTTATTAAAATATATTGGTGGGGGGGGGGGGGGTAAATCATTGGGTCCTTCATTGATCATTCATAAAAATGAAAAAAATGACAATGTTTGTAAAATAATTACCTTCTGTTTGTGCTATGTGTTGCACTAGAAACTCGGTCTCTTCGACGATTCTGTCCCCAATGCTATGTTTGCCCATGCCAAAGCTCTTGAGGGTCCTAATGGAAAAGCGTCTCCTGTCCCTCCACGCTTTGCCCACAGACATTACCAAACCTGCGTTTCACAGGCAATGAAGACGTACCAATGAGAATGTATGTTTTTTTTATAACCTCATTGGCCTATATTGTAAATAACAACAATACACCATTATTTTTATAATAGTTTTTTAGGGTTCAATCGCGTAAATATAAATGTGTTGTTAAGCCCGCCACCACCTGAACACAGCCAATTAGTTATGTTTGTCATGTAAACGTGCCAATTAGTTACTAGTTCAGCACTAACCGGTGTGTTGTAATTCTTGTAGGTTTCATCTCCAACACACCAGTGTGCTGAATTAGTAACTAATTGGTCTGTGTTGTATATGTGACAAATTGGCTGTATTGGGTGGTGGCAGACTTAACGAAATAAAACCTTGTGGAATAACTCACTCGGGTAACCAAGAGTGACACTGCATCACATTCTGGATACAATGGACTTATCGAATGTTTATTGTAAATTGTTCAGCGCGATTGTAATGGCTTGCCATGTCATGGTGCAATATAAATTGTCATTATTATTAGCTTGGTATAAATCGTCAGACTGAGGAGGGGGAGATTTTAGGGGAAGGAGATAGTGGGGGAGGGGGACGGGGGTGTGTGGAAGTGTGTCGCGGTTTAGTGTGCTGCGCTTCGAACCCGGCGACACAAATTCGGTTCCCACGGTCGACACCAGTGACGATTATCTGAAACGGTCCTGGGCCTCCCCGAGGTTAACTTGGCCTGAAATGAGTATCTCTGTGCGGCGTATAAACAAAGGCGGCCGGGCGTGGTGATGGCCACCTACCCCCTCGTGTGCCGTGCCGGCTTCCATAGGCGCTCGGGAACAGCACTTTCGCTAACAGTCAGTTAAAGGGGGGGGGGGGGGGGATCTTCGTTATAAGAGGGTTGAAGAAGTCCTGAATGAAAAAGTAATAAAAAGTGGTGGGTAAATAGTTGATCTAAAAGGTTTCCGAAAATTGTCGACCCCCCCCCAAAAAAAATATTTTTACCTCCCCGTAGGCATATATACCTACAGTAGTATCTGGCTCTACAGTAGTATCTACTGACTGAATAATAGTATCAACTGACCGTAGTAGCAGTATCTACTGACAGTAGTAGTATTTACGAACTTTACAGGCGTTTTTACTGACTCTATAGTAGTATCTACTGACTGTAGTAGTATCTACGGACTGTATAGTAGTATCTACTGACTCTATTGGCTGTAGTAATAGCTATACGAACTCTATAGCAATGTGTAATGGCTGTAGTAGTAGCTATACTAACTCGAGAATAGTACAAACTTCTTGACTTAAAACTTTCGTGACTGCAGCAATTCATATTCGTTGTTTTTTTTCGGTAAAGTCACGTAGATAGAAAAATTATAATAAAGTGAATAAATAATAATGAAAAAAAGCATTAAAAACAATAAACCACTAATGTAGACTGTAGCCTGGTTCTAAATCGGAGTGTACAGGCAATCTATAATGTAGACTGTAGCCTGGTTAAGTTTGGTGAGTGTACTGGCAGTCTATAATGTAGCCTGTTGCCTGGTTCTTAACCTCGGTGAGCATACTGGCAGTCTATAATGGTTATTAAATGCTCACTCAGTTTAATAACCATTGCCACAGTCTACATAATAGACTGCTAATATGCTCAGCAGCGTAAAAACCAGGCAACAGTCTACATTATAGACTGCCAGTACACTCTCTCCGATTAAGAACCAGGCCACAGTCTACATGAGTGATTTTTTTGTTATGTATTGTTTTTATTTACTTTTACTATTTTAATCACTTTATTTTTTATGACTATTTTCCTATCTACGTGACTTTACTGAAATAACCAAGAATATAGTACTAGTCCCGTGCAGAGCCCCCGGCCTCACCTAGATTGCTCAGCTGGCCGAGGTGGCACCTTGGCAGGCTGGGCCGCTACCCCCCTCCCCACCAACCCCCCACCCGCTGTACAGTAATAGTGGGATTGTGGCAGTGTGACAAACCCAGCATAGCATTCTGCAGCGACAGAACATTGACTTGGATCTTGCGGAGAAGAAAAAAAAGCGACGGAATAAACTTACAAAAATAAATTACGTGCATGACCTACCATCGTGCATGTCCAAGAATTCAAAGATCGGCACTTTGGGACGACCAGCAAACACCTCTGCTTGATGAACGAGAGCATCTCTCACGGCGTCAAAGCCAACGATCACCACGACCCGGCTCAAGCCCATGGACACGCTAAAAACCGGACCGTAAGTCTCGGAGAGCTAAGGGACCCATGAAACAACACGTGTGTATGTGTGGCATATGTCATTGAAAAATTAGTCTCGTTACACGTGATCACATTTGATCCATGAAATATATCGTGAAACAGATGTGCGATGATTATTATCATCGCACGGATATATCCAACTTTTTGTTTTTAGTTTGTTGTCCTTCTCCCGCACCTCCGATTAGCACGGTTGGCTACGTATGGTGCGAAAAATTTCAACATACATACAAAACCATTCTGAGCTTCAATGCTTTTTTTGGAGGTTCATGCTAAACGCTTTCACAGTAATAATTAGCACTAATTAGGTGCCGTTCACAATGCCTCAAGACAACCCACGCACGAATATCAGAACGATAACAAAGGGAAACGCATGGCAAAATAAGAGCCAGAGAAAACCAGTGCTAATTAGACAAAACCTTTTTTGAATGTTTTATTTATTTATTCAGAATTAGGGTGAGGGAATTGAAAGATATCAACACATCGATGATATCGCCAACCATCAGGAGTTCCACAACCCGGGGGGTGAGGGGGGTTACCTCAATAAACGTCCGATCAACCCCAAGGACCGCAGCCGAGATGAAGGTACTGAATACATAAAAGGGGCACTATCGGCAGATCTTAAAGACCCTGAAGGGGCACAAGATTGAATTCGTGCCAATTATAAAGTTGAGCTAGTTCTCGTTAAGGCCTAAACCAGAAGGGGTGATCCAGAATCCAACAGATCATAATTTGACATTGAATGAGCAAATAAAGCCGATACAGAATATTGGTCAAGACCTTAGTGTGGCGTGCCTCACGATGTATATGAATAGAACATCTCAGGATGCCAAGTATCCAGCAAACCCATGACAAAATCGGCATGCCCGAGGCAGGAAGCCAAGCACAGTTGTACATTAAAATGGGACTATCCCCGTGATGTGTCCAAAGTGAACACAGATGTTGAGATGAAGCTGACAAAGTTGTGGCACAGCGATCTCCTGCCACGGCACGCTCCTTCATGGCAGCCAATGGTGACAACAGTTATTGATATTTTCTAGACTAAAATTTTTGGTTAGATTGTAAAGAATCATGGAACAAATGGGTGCTTAGTTCAAGCTAACTGCAGTGAAGTTACGTACACCAAAAGTCAACCAGTTTACTCAACTAACCTTCAGTGCACGTTGTCATGTGGCAAGATGAAGTTGGAGCGAAATGGTTTTTGACACTGAATATCGGGTCATGTCTACGCCCATTTAATCCCCTTGATTACCTTCATGAAGGACTTGTACAGGGAGTTGAGGTCAAGCTGGTGGATGTTGCCAATCAACGGCCATGGCCGAGGACCAGGTGGGAAGCCCTTGGGGTCATTTTTGAGGCACAGGGGGCCAGAGAGCAGCAGGAAGAGGAGCACCAACACAGCCAACAGGGCCAGCGCCGTGGTGCCAAACGTCGGCAGCATCGTGTCCATCCCCAGCACATCCGGCACCATTTTCGGAGATATGCCGGCGCTCTGGCCAAACAGTTAAAAAATGTGTTATATATATTTAAAAAAAACAACGACCATAACAGACAGTCCTCAAGATACAAACGTCCGAATTACAAACATCCGCACCTACCAACGAACCGCCATAAGATGTTATTGTTTAACCATCTGAACGTTTCTGTCGCACTTTACGAACCAAACCGAACCGCAGAACTATTTTGTTTGACGGAGCGGTCCTCTGTGAGCTGTAACGAATCCCCAGCATCCTGGGTGATGCGGACAGTGACCCGCCCCTTTTGACAAGCACCTCTGATTAGCACATTTGGCTTCGTACAGTGCGAAATAAGTTCAACATGCATACATGCAAGCCAGCATCAGGATTCAAGGTAAGTGGAAATAAAACGTATTTTTTAAATTGTCATTGCTTTATGTATGCTTTATTTACTATATAGTATTTATTCAAGTATTACATGCGAATGTACACTATTTCTTCTTATTTATGATTTTAACAATTCCTTCCTTTGTTTCACAAAAGCACAACATATAACACTGACTATGTACTGCAGAGTACAATTATATTTTGAGCTCCGAGATACGAACAAATCGACTTACGAATGGGTCTCAGGAATGTAACCTGCTCGTAAGTCGACTTCCGTATGCCACAAGTCAGCTTCAACTTTGGAAGATGGAGGGCCTACGTCATTTGAAAAAGCATTTATTCACTTTTCCCACTAAGTTTTTCTCAAAAAAGTTAAACCCGATTTTCCCAGCAAATATCACGGTAACGTTCTTTTCTAAGGGGCTAACTTGTAGCAATACGAAGAACATAATAACTTACAGTTCATATTAAAATAATAAAAAAAATTCTGTAGAATGTTTATATTTTTTTTTGCTCGTGGTGTATACATCAATGAATGTGTTAAAGTGCAGTTCGCACATATGCAACACCATATTCTTAGCTCTTTCGGTAAAGTCACGTTGAAGGGAAACAATAAAATAATAAAATATATATAAAACAATAAAAAAATTCTCACGACGTTTCGACCATAACACAAACGGTCGTCATCAGGTGTGTCGGTTTGCATAAATGTATTTATTTTTAAACGGTGTATTTATTTATTTATAAAAAACGTCAGCGCCACGCGCAGCGATTTGGCAGTTTATTTAGAAGGACTAGTCCATCTATGTTCTGAAAAGAGGAGGGGGGAGACGAAAAATTCATGTATGCTGTCTGAAAGCCACTGTAAGCGTGAACAATCAATTAAGACCTGAAATGGTTTATCAAATCTTTCCAATGATTGCTAAGCCAAAATCCATCTTCTCGGTTGAAATTGGCTCTGTGCTTGTATATGTGAATAGCCTCATGAACGAATCTCTCATGGTAGCCAGATGGCTTACAAAGAACCTCTATCTTGGAAAAGTCAATGTCATGTGAGCCTACTGAATTATAACAATGATCTGCCACGGCAGAGGTGTTGGTCCTACCGTGTTTAAGGTCTGCTTTCTGTTCACGAATGCGGTCCGAGACATGGCGTTTAGTTTCTCCAATGTAACTACTACCACAGAGGCAACTTAGTTTGTAGACACCAGGGTACTATATGTCCGGAATCACATCTTTTACAGATGGAACCAGATCACGGATTTTATGTAATGTGTTGAAACGGACCTGGATCTTGTGTTTATTCAAGATTTTGGAGATCTTTTTTTGTAATCCCCGCAATGTAGGGTAAAGTGATGGTTTTGAAAGGCTCCTCAAGAGGGCCCTTCTTCATGGTTTGAGTGATAGCTTTGCGGATTGTATAGTCGGAGTAACCATTAGCCTTAAGAGCTTGGTGTACGTGCTTGAGTTCACTGCCTATGTGTTCCTGGTCGGATATGCATTGGGCTCTATGATACAGAGTCTTGATGAGAGAATTCTTCTGTGATGGATGGTGGTGGGAATCCGGTTTCAGATAAGCATCCGTATGGGTAGCTTTCCTGTAGACAGAGTGGCTCATTGAACCATCAGGTCTCTTTTTAATTAGGACATCCAAAAAAGGTAGCTTGCCATCTTTTTCGACTTCCATGGTAAATCTGATGGCTGGGTATATGGAATTGATGTGGTCGAAGAATTGGTCTAGAGCAGGCCGGCCATGTGGCCAGATGACAAAAGTGTCATCCACGTACCTCTTCCATAAGGTTGGGCGCAGAGTGGCAGTCTGGATGGCGTCAATTCTCAAATTTCTCCATGAAAATGTTAGCTATAACCGGAGATAGGGGGGAGCCCATTGGGGTGCCCTCAGTTTGTTTGTAGAAAGTTCCATCCCAAGTGAAATATGTATTGGTTAAACAGTGTCTCACCAGGGGGGGTACCTCAGTGTTTAGTCCTTGATGAACCAAGTCTTCAATGATTGCGATAGTGTCAGGTACAGGAACCTTGGTGAATAAGGAAACTACATCAAAACTGACAAGCAGGTCGTCTGGGGACAGGGAAATACCCTTGATTGTCGATACCAGGTGAGTAGAATTTTGTACTGCAGAAGTGGTTTTTTAATAAATAAATAAATAAATACACCGTTTAAAAATAAATATATTTATGCAAACCGACACACCTGATGACGACCGTTTGTGTTATGGTCGAAACGTCGTGAGAATTTTTTATTGTTTTATATATATATTTTATTATTTTATTGTTTCCCTTCAACGTGACTTTACCGAAAGAGCTAAGAATATGAATTACTGCAGTCACGAAAGCTTTAAATAAAAAAAAATATGCAACACCATTTAAAAAACATAAGCAAGATATACATTTCACAATGCGCTATAGTTATAAAAAAATTGCTTTGCAAATTTTGAATTAATATGCATATTTGAATGTAATTGAACGCAGGTTTTGGAAAACGATTAACCCATATTGTACCAGAAAACCAATGGGTTCAACTCCTGGATTAATTATTTGGTTACTCTAAAAAAATCATACTGTTGTCTGCGTGCATGAACTCTATCTGATATTGCATAGGCACAGATTAAAGGTTTCCAATGTGGCCTCCGTTTAGAGAAGTTGCCCAATGTTGTTAATGATTACATCTAATCAGTTTTGGCTCATGCAAGCCATCCCCGACTTATGAATTGTTTTTAACTATCCGACTTGCGAACGTTCACCCCACACCCCCCTCTCTATATCTCTTCCGTGGCTCCTCCCCCCTCTCTTACCTATATAGACTCTTGTCACAGCAGCTCTTCTGCCCACTTCAGCAATTGTTTCTTGCTGTGGTTGTCCCACCTGATGACGGACGCTTGTGTTGCGCCAGAAACGTGATTTAATGTATTTTATACCTACGCGACTTTACCGAAAGAACCAAAGAGTAGGGGAGGATAGTTAACTTTCCCGCGTTGGTTGTTCTTGTTCATTGTTATTTGTTACTGGTTCAGGTTTTGTATTGGGGGTCACGCTTTGCCACTTAGGAAATGACGGCCAGCCGTATTGGCTGTGGGGAACATTGAGGAGTTTATTTAAAAAAAATTTCCTCTGCCCTAACTTGAGTTTAATAAAAAAAAGTCTTCTCTCCCCTTTGAAATTCGGGGGTTTGACAGCCGGGTCGGCTGGATTTTATAAAGGGGGGGGTAATGTAGTGACATATACTGTCACTATACTGTAGCGCCGGGTACTGGAGGGACACGTGGCCGGGGGCTGAGAGCCCTGCCTTCATACATTAGGGGGCAGGGCTGAGGGCGTGGTGAAGCCACGGCCAGGAAAATATAGGGGGAGCCCGGAGAGGAATCGCGGTCCATTGGGGGGTTCAGCCTGGAGTCCCGCATCTCTTCGTCTTTGCTCCTCGTTCGTCGGTTGAGTGTAGCCTGACACACTCAATCGTGGGTCAGACGGCGTGTGTGCTGGCTGGCCCGTTCACTACACTAACCCGCACGCACACAGCGAACAGATAGACACCTAGCTATAGAACCCAAGTTATGAGGGTTGTGTTTATTAAAAGTATTGCCTCCAACTACAGTGTGTGAGACTCAGTGTATAACACACTACACAGGGTAGTCAACAAGTCAGGACGCATCATCATCACTATTCATGAGCAGATAGCCCGTAGGTGTCCACTGCACATTTCGTTATTTGTTTCCACTTTCTTCAAGTAGTGGCCACATCTTTCTGGCACCAATCTCTTATGATGTCATTCGCAGGTATTTTTCAGCACTGGCATGTCTGGCCAACACCAGTTATATTGTGTGTTTTGTTGAAAACGTAATAGGCTTTCGCAACCAATTTCATCCATAAGAGGTTTTTTTCTGGGATAGATCGCGTAAATATAATTGTGTCGATAAACCCGCCTCCACCCGACACAGCCAATTAGTGAGGTTTGTCACGTAAACAAACATGTCAATTGGCATGTTTTATTTACGTGTGGTGGCCGGTTGAAAGACATATGTATATTCAAGTGATCTAACCCAAACAACTCTTATGGATTGTGGTTTATTTTACCGTTGGCAGGAAACCGGGGAACCCAGAGGAAACTCATGGAGAACATAAGTGGGGAACATACAAACTCCACACAGAAGGCACCCGAATTGGGAATCGATCCCAAGGACCTTCTTGCTACGAGACGCGAATGTTACCACTGCGCCGCACTGCCATCCAGTGGATGCAGATGTGGTCCGTTGACATTTTACCAGAGAGCAGGTTGATGAATGAAGAAGGGAAGCAAACACGAGCCAACGTTTCTGTTATTAAAGCAGAACAACTAAGCGGAAATGGTCATGATGTGACCAAGATGAAAATTGAGGGTAACACCCCTGGCTTCCCTCTGTATCAGTTACAACCGGTCGTACCACGTTTAGGAGTATGGGTGTGGGGAAGCCCGATTCTGCAAATTGACCTGCTATAAAAGGGGAAACAAAGAAGGGGAACATAAAGAGAAGGGCGTGGTGCCAGCAGACAGCAGCAGCCAGGCGCATCTACTTAATGCTGCAGTGGGGAGACACCACACAAAAGGAAGCAGCAGTGTTCTACTTAATGCTGAAAGGTGGACACACGACACCAAGGGAGCCACCAGTGCTCTATCTACTGCTATAGTGTGGAGACACCACACCAAAAAAGGCACCAAAGCACTGCATATTGCTCCAGGCTGACTATTAATACCTGGGACACGCAGGACCATTGAGTCCCTGTAAACGGGCGTGCCGGTGGGTGCATCGGGGTTGCGTTGCGTGTACAAATGGATTCCTTTTTCTTTATTACGTCCCATTATAGAGCACACAAGTCAGAATACTTGTGGGGTTCTGCCTATAAGTGTACATGGAAGTATCATCCATAAAATTGTTGCAAAATGACCAATCCACCTGGTGTGCTACCTCTCTCCGAAGGGAAGCACACGCTCCATAACCCCCCCACCTATTCTGAATCGTTACACATGAGAACCAAAGAGAAAATACACAAATTCAACTGCGGAATGGAGACTGAGAGAAGGGAAGAGAAGCATAGGAAGACTCA